AGGGCTGTGTGCAGCACCAGTACTGAACTCTGTAGTCTATTAGTTTTTTTTTTTTTTTTTACTCAATTTGCTACCGACTGAATCAAAAGGTGTTGTTTTCACACCAGTAATATCCCTGTAACCAGCTCCCCGATATGCACAGTTTCTTAATTTACATTTTCAGGGATGCTGTTGCAAAGAGGTCTGGTCTCAATATTGAGAGGATCGCTGTTCTCTGGGCTGCCGGTCTCTCTTTGATCAGTCAGAAATCTCTCTAGTGAGTTAATATGGTCTGTCTTGAACTTCTGGGATCATCTAGAGCAGAGGTGGAGGTGGGTGGGTGGAAATTACAGTAGTAATGAGGGCTTGATGGATTAATGTGTCAGGTATGTGCCAGTGGCAGTTGGAAGCAGGTGGATGTGAGTTCACCTCTGTAATAGGAGAGCAGGGAAAATGTTAACTGAGACTGGAGCCGTGAAAACGAAAACTTAAACCTGCAACAAGTAGCTGGAAGGTAAACAGGCAACTCCCTGCCTGGGCTGAGGTGGCAAAGGGGAAGTGGGAACAAGCAGAAGTCCAGCATGGGCACAACCAGCAATCATGGATCATGGTGTTGTGACTGGGATTCAGTTGCCTGCCTGCAATCCACAACTTGAAAGGTGCTTATCCTTAAGCTGATTTTGGGCATGCACGTCAGGTGTAGTGTTTGTTCCTGTTTGTGGCACAGCCCAGTGGGCCTGCACGTGGGGCTCCCAGCTCTGCTTGTGGGGCTCAGGGTCCCGAGTACAGGGCACACATGGGCTCAGTGCCTGCTGCCTGCTCAGGAGCCAGGGGAGTACTGAGGCATAACCAGGAGCTGAGTCTTCTGATATTGCTCTTTACTCTGTTCTAGGAGACTGAAACTCCTTGGATTTTGGTGCTGCTGCTGGTTTTCTCCAGCTGCAGGTAGAGGTTATCCTGGGGCTTCATTGAGTTGGTGGTAATGTTATATCTGGGGGCTCTCCTGATCTCTGCCTTTTTTCCCCCAGGGAAGTTTATCATGACAGCTTCTAGTGACACCACCATCCTGATCTGGAGCCCAAAGGGCGAAGTCCTGGCCAGCATTAACACCAACCAAATGAACAATGCCTATGCCACAGTGTCACCCTGTGGGAGGTGAGTGACAGGCAGGATTCCTGGCTGCTCCTTTGCACAGGGTAGCATCAGTTCAGACCACTGGCAGTTAGTTGTTATTGTAATGCAATTTTCTGAGCGTTCCACAGTTGAAAAAGGTATTTTGGCCTCCCCAGAAATGGAGCTGATGTGGGGTCAGGCACTCTTGTGTTGCTATCCGCCTCAGCACTGCTGTTCTGGTAACCTGAGAACAGCTTTGGCCTCAGGTAGCCGGGGTGGGATAGAGCAAATGGCCTATGCAAAGAAAACAGCACTTTGAACTTGTCTGTGACTTCTTAAAGGTCAATTATAAAAATAAAGGTTTTATTTATGGGAGATCTGTTTTTCGGGAAAATCACTTGCTGCTGTAGGTTGATTTGCCTTGCTCCTGGTGCGAGGAGGTTGGGGATCAAAAGTATTTAGCTCTTCTGCTTTGACTGGAGAGTTTCTCATTCCTGAGTTGTTCTGGTGCCCTTCGTTAGTGTTCCCTTTACCAGCCAGGTTTCAGGGAAAAGTGGAAATTCAGCTGACCAGACTTGAGTGCAGGAGTCAGGACGGGTTTGCAGAGCTGTGGCCCTGCCTTGCTCAGGCTCTCTGCAAGAGGCAACCTGTGTCTCTGCTTATTCCTTCACACAGGTTTGTGGCATCCTGTGGCTTTACCCCCGATGTGAAGGTGTGGGAGGTGTATTTTAGCAAGAATGGAGACTTCAGGGAGGTGACCAGAGCTTTTGAGTTGAAAGGCCACACTGCTGGTGTGCAATCATTTTCCTTCTCCAACGACTCAAGGAGGTATGTGTGTGTTACCTGCTCTGAGTTACCCTAATAGCATGTGAGCTCATCTCTTCCAGGGTTCACCAGCTGCACCACTGAGCTGCAGGGGGTAAAACACTGCTCTGGGGAGCCAAATCTGGCTCGTGCCACCTGTGTATTCCCTGCTCATAGGAATCTCATGTGGTTTAACGAGACCAGGTGCTGATGCTGCACCTGGATCAGTGTGGAGACAGATAGGCATGCCAAACCTCTCCCTTGGAAAGGTATCCCTTGAATGGGCTGTGACAAGATCTTCTCAAACCCTCCTGGATTGAGAAATCCTCCTTGGTCATGGTGAGTTCCCAGCATGCTTTGGAACCCCATGTAGATTTGTTTGGACCGATTGGTTTTTCCCCTTTGTACCACCCCCACTTTTCCCCATAAAAACCCCTGCTTCTGCCCTGTTCAGGGGGGGGAGGTGTTGTCCCTGGCCTCCTTTGCAGGGTGCTGGAATAACTACACAGCACTCCTGTCTCTTTGTCCCTGTGCTGGCCAGGGTACACCTCGCAAGGCAGAGCTGAAATCACTGAGAGCTGAAATAGCTGCTCAGAGCTGAGCTGTCTGCCCCTTGCTGAGCTGTCTGCCCCTTGCTGAAGGACTGCCTGAGACCCCTAGAAAGTTTTCTCTTTCCCAGAGAGAGGTCAGAGGGACCTCTCTCTGGGAAGGTTGTAGCGTCCAGGTCAAGCCATCAGACTCCCAACTGGCCACGCCAACAGATCAAGGCAACCCCTGGTATCAATCCAAGCTGGGGATGAACAGACTGAGAGCAGCCTGGGGGTGCTGGTGAGTGAGAGGTGGACATGTCCCAGCCCAGAAATTCCCCTGCGTTGATCCCACAGTGTGTGGGTAACAAGGGAGAGTGGAATTCTGCCCCTCTTCCCCCCTCAGGTGAGACCCCACTGGCAGAGCTGCCTCCAGCTCCCCAGCACAGGAAGGACTTGGAGCTGCTGGAGTGAGTCTAGAGGAGACACCAGCATGAGGGATGGAGCAGCTCTGGTATGAGGAAAGGCTGAGAGAATTGGAATTGCTCAGCCTGGAAAATAGAAGGCTTCAGTTTATGTAATTGTGGCTTTCTAGGAGCTGAAAGAACTGACAAGAAAGATGGGAGAGAGATTATTTACAGGGGCCTGGAGTGACAAGATAAAGGGGAAGGGTTTCAGACTGATAGAGAGCAGGTTATGTGGGATATTAGGAATAAAGACTTGATTGTGAGGGTGGTGAGGCCCTGGCACAAGCTGCGCAGAGAAGATGTGGCTGCCCCACCCCTTGAAGTGTTCAAGGCTGTGTTGGAAGGAGCTTGGAGCAGCCTGGTCTGGTGGTAGGCTTTTTTGCTTTGGAAAGAGAACACAGGCTGTATCTGTATGTAGACTCACCCTTCCCAAGAAATCTCTTTCCACAGAGATTCCTGGTTCATGGGCAGGGCAGGGTAAGAGGTGGCACCCTTTTTCACTATGCTCTCTTGGCTGCAGGATGGCAACTGTGTCAAAGGACGGCACATGGAAGTTCTGGGACACAGATGTGGAGTACAAGAAGCAGCAGGACCCATACCTGCTTCTGACAGGGCAGTGTGCAGTGCTGGAACCATGCCGCATTGCCCTGTCCCCTGACAGCCGCACGGTCGCTGTGGCGGGCAGCACAGACATTGTGGTGTACAACACACGGCGCGGCGAGGAGGAGGAGCGTTTTCTTGGCGTGCACAGCCACTGTATCACAGACCTTGCGTTTGACACCACCGGCCGCTATGTCGTGTCCTGTGGGGACTGTGTTATCCGTGTCTTCCACAACACTGCTGGGCACCGTGCTGTGGTGGAGGAGATGGAAGCCATGCTGAAAAAAACTGGGAACAAAGCCACGCAGGAGAGGCTGGAGCAGCAGATCTCCAGTGCTCGCAAAGCGTTGGCTGCCATCTATGGCAAGAAGCACTAAGCTACCTGTACACCTGTACAGCAGGAGGCAACTGTGCTCTGCCTTGGGGATGGTTTTCTTTTTTTTTTTTTTTAATAACTGTGAACAATAGTAATAAAAGAGTGCCTGGGTCCTTCCTTGTGTGCTCTGTGATGGGTGGGGACAGGGCTGGGGACGGTGGCATCTCCCAGTGTCACAGTCTTGGGTTGTTTTCCCCCCGGGCTTAGATCATCAGTATCCTATGAAACTGATTGCTAAGGCAATGCCTACGAGTTCTCCTGAGCTTAGAAATGGGAGTTGTGTGGATTTGGGGTAGGTTTTTTTGGTTGGTTGGTCGGTTTTTTTTTTTTCCCAAGAGAGCTGCCAAAGTTCAATGTTGATGCTAAACAGTGGGGATTCTGCTGCATGGAACGGGGCAGTGCTGTAACGGTGCAGCATTCCCCCGGCCCGGGATCTCAGGGTGATCTCACGGTGGTGTGCAGCGGGACCTGACCCAAAGGAAGATGGCGGTGCACCATCGCCGCGTCCGCGCGTCGTTTCCGCGCCCGCTGTGGGTCGTGTAAGTCTGCGCAGGCGCAGCAGCCGGGGCGTGTCGGGCGTGGTGACGCAGGAAGCGCAGCGCGCGGGCGGGCCACGCAGGGCGCGTGCGCGGGGCCGGGTGCGCCGGCGGGTGCGGCGGGGCCGGTGCTGCGGGGCTGCGCGCGCCATGTCGGGGCGCTCGGTGCGGGCCGAGACCCGCAGCCGCGCCAAGGATGACATCAAGAAGGTGATGGCAGCCATCGAGCGCGTCCGCAGATGGTGAGGGCGGGCCCGCGGGGGGGGGTGGGGTAGGTTTTTTTGGTTGGTTGGTCGGTTTTTTTTTTTTCCCAAGAGAGCTGCCAAAGTTCAATGTTGATGCTAAACAGTGGGGATTCTGCTGCATGGAACGGGGCAGTGCTGTAACGGTGCAGCATTCCCCCGGCCCGGGATCTCAGGGTGATCTCACGGTGGTGTGCAGCGGGACCTGACCCAAAGGAAGATGGCGGTGCACCATCGCCGCGTCCGCGCGTCGTTTCCGCGCCCGCTGTGGGTCGTGTAAGTCTGCGCAGGCGCAGCAGCCGGGGCGTGTCGGGCGTGGTGACGCAGGAAGCGCAGCGCGCGGGCGGGCCACGCAGGGCGCGTGCGCGGGGCCGGGTGCGCCGGCGGGTGCGGCGGGGCCGGTGCTGCGGGGCTGCGCGCGCCATGTCGGGGCGCTCGGTGCGGGCCGAGACCCGCAGCCGCGCCCAGGATGACATCAAGAAGGTGATGGCAGCCATCGAGCGCGTCCGCAGATGGTGAGGGCGGGCCCGCGGGGGGGGAGGGCCCCGCCGCCCGCGCGCAGCCAATCACCGTTCCGCGGGATGCGACTCGGGAGTGCGCGCCCAACCAGCGGGTGCGGGCGGGGGGGCGGCGACCAATGGGAGCGGGGCGGTGTGGGAAGCGCCTGTGATGGGCGGTTGGTCCAGCCAATCACAGTGCGGGGGGCGGGGGGAGTGCTGCGCGGTGCTGAGCTGACGCTCCTCTGGGCCAAGCGGAGCGTGGCGGGATGGAGGGGTTTGCTGCCATGGTGCCCCAGGCCCGGTCCGGCCCGTCACGGTTGTGTCCCGCAGGGAGAAGAAGTGGGTGACGGTGGGCGACACGTCCCTGCGGATATTCAAGTGGGTGCCAGTGGCGGACAGTAAGGAGGTGGGCACCGCGCGTGGAGACGAGCCGGGAGCCACCGCCTACAGCCAGCCTAGCTCCCTTAACAACCCCCCTTAAGTTGAGCTCTGAGCCTCCCCCAGCCCTACCGACCACCGACGCCCCCCGAGCCACCTCCGAGCCCCCCAGTTCCGCCGAACGCCACCAAACCCCCCTGAGTTCCCTCCAAGTCGACCCCTGAGTCCTCGCAAAGCCAGCACTCGAGCCCCCGCTGAGCCCTCCCAGCCCTGCTGAACACCTTTGAGGCCCCACCGAGCTCCTCCTGCCCTATCGAGATCCCCCCAGCGCCCCCAAGCCCCTGATCCCTCCCCAAGCTGACTCCCAAACCCCACCAAGTCCCTTCTGAAGCTCCATGAGCCCCTGTCAAGCCTTCTTGGGCACCCCCCAGCCCCAAAGAGCCCCTTCAGCTAACCTGAGCCTCCCCTGAATTATCGAGCCCCCTGAGCTCCCTTGAGCCCCCTCCTGCTTCTCTCAAGACTCTCTGCTTGACTCCTCCAAGGATTTGCTTTACTTGGTGTCATTCCTAGATGGGCGTCAGCTCCTCCTCTCTCTCCTGATTCCCAGTCCCTTCATAGATGGAGTTTGGCCTCCCACTTAGTAATGTGCCCCCAAAGCCAAGGGAAAAGGCTAGCTTGAGCACATCTCTCTGGGCTTCTGGAGACAGAAAGGGGAAAGGTTCTTCTGAAGCAGCATGTGTTTCTCTGACATTGTGTTTGTAATTTTCTTTCTCTCCTCAAGAAAGAGAAATCCAAATCTAGTAGCAGCACGACCCGAGAACCCAATGGCTTCCCAGCTGACACCTCTGCCAACTCCTCCCTCCTTCTGGAGTTCCAAGGTGGGCCTGGGCTGAGGTCCCTTCAACGTGGAGAAAGACTCCAAGGCTGTACAGCAGCTGGGACATTGCTGGTTCTGTGTGCTGCTGGTATGGGGAAGAGCACTGCTTGCCCCTGAACACTGGTGTGGAATGAGAGCTATGAAGTTGAGCTGTGGAGTTGGGCTGATCCACTTCTGGATTGTCCCTGTCCAAACTGTTCATTTTTGCTCTTAGAGTCTTAATGGGCTGTTTCTGGTATCTTCAGTGGGAAGCTTCACAGCCAGCTGGAGGACTGGGGTTTCCTGATCCCCCCTTTCCATGCTCTGCTGGGGAGAGGCCGAGAGCCACGTGCAGCCAAGCTTGATTTTCCAACAGTTACTTCCATGGACCTTAGGGTGAAGGGGCAAAGGCTGTCCCTGGCCTTGCTCTTGATCTAGGCACTGTGGCGCAGCCAGGAGAGGCTCCAGCAGTGCCAGACTCACTGCTGAAGTAGTGTGCACATCTGCCCAGCCCCCCTCTGGGTGTGGCTAAGGAAAATCAGGAATTTGCTGGCAGTCCCAGGAGATGTGGTGGGGTTATGTTGCAGGTCTGCAGTTTGTCAAGGTGTGTGCCAGTCCTGCTTTCCTCACTGGGAGACAGGTGCTGAGCATTAATCCTTGTGTTGCTTCACAGAGGAGGAACAAAACCATGGTACACAGCAGGAGATTCCTGCCCTTGGATGCCCAGGGCCCTCCCAAGTGCCTGACAGCACTTAGGCTGATGTGGAACAGTGTATCCCCTGTTTAGCTCTGACCATGCTCTGCCTTCTCAGCAAGACCCCAGCTTGCAGTGCCACCCTGGGCTGCTTGTACCCCTGCATTAAGGTGCTCTTTTTTACCAGGTGCTGTTTCTGCAGATGAGAACAGCAACCAGAGCTCCCTGTCTGATGTATACCAGCTCAAGGTGGACAGCAGCCCCAACTCCAGCCCCAGTCCTCAGCAGAGTGAGTCCATGAGTCCTGCCCACACATCTGACTTCCGCACAGACGACTCGCAGCCTCCTACCCTGGGGCAGGAGACCCTGGAAGGTGGGTGCTGGGCTGAGAAGGGAGGAGGCAGATGGGTGGGCAGAGGGAAGGCCCCTCCAGGGCTGTTGGTGGTCTGGTGGGTGGCCTTGGCACTGCTAGAAGCTGACAGGGCATCGGGGACTTCTTTAGCTAGGTGTTCTGTCCTGGGTCAGCACTGACCTGGGTGCTGGGTCTGCATTTTTGTTGACCTACCTGTTCTCCCCAGAGCCCTCCCTGCCTTCCTCAGAAGTGGCAGATGAGCCTCCCACTCTCACAAAGGAAGAGCCAGTCCCCCTTGAGACTCAGGTAAGGGAAGGGGGATTGAAACCATCTCTAAATGTGCATGGACCCAGATTGGCCCTTTGACCATTGTTGCTGCTTCTTGTCGCAGAAGCATCTTACTGGATGGACTTGCTCTGCAGTCCTGAAGTGCCCCCTGGGAGCTCCCAGAACCTCCTGGTTTCGTGAGCTTTGGTCTTTATCCCCTGGTTCAGATCAAGTGTTGAAGTGTGAGGGAAGGATATGGGGGTGTGCGAAAATGACAATTCTGGCACACTCCAGGGCTGGAGTGGGTTCCCATTCCTGGTGCCCTGGGGTCTGTGCATAGGTGACAGCCTGGGCTGTCCCCATGGTGTGACACAGCCTTGTCTAGGTGTGCGTAACTCGGTGTCACTGCCTGTGACATCTGGCTCTTGCAGGTAACTGAAGAGGAGGAGGACTCTGGTGCGCCACCTCTGAAGAGATTTTGTGCTGACCAGAACTCTGTGTGCCACACAGCCTCGGAGAGCTAACCTGCCTGGCCCGGCACCTTCGCCAGCCCCTTGCAGAGCTGCCTGACCTCTCCAGGACCAGCGTTTCCCTCCAGCCTGCCCCTTCCCCAGCGTCGGGGCTCCCACCACTCGCATCAAGTGCGCCCTGCCCTACCCTGCCCTGCCCTGCCCTTCCCGATGGATGGGGCTGCTGCCAGTACCTGCAATTTTGCCTCTATTTATTGGCTCCCTCTCTCCCTGCTCCCTGCCCTAGAGCTGGGGGTCTCTGCTGGGTGGGCTGCATGTGTGGGGGGGTTCTCTATGCGTCTCCCTGCTCTCCATGGTCCCCAGAACACTGGCAAATTCTGTTTGCCAGCTTGTGGCTCCCCTGCCTGCCCTTCCCCTGGGTGCTGGGAACAGGAGAGCCACCTTCCACCTGCTCCGGGTGATGTATTCACTCGGTTGTGGGAGCAGGTGGTGGTGGGTGTGGGGGGCAGTGAGGGGGCGGCCGGCAGGGACCCACTGGGACGCTGTGCAATAAGCTGCTAGTTTAAGCCATTCATGCTGGGAGAGAGGGGAGCGCTTTCCCCTTCCCCCGGAGGGCAGGTACTGACCGGCCTCAGCTCTGCCTCGAGGCACAACTCCAGCCGAATGGAATTTGCAGTCCCCCGGGAGCCGGCAGAGCAGGGGGAGCCGCTGCCCTGTGCTGGAGGGCCTTGCCCCGGCCTAGGTACCCGCTGTCCCCGAGGTGGGAGAGGAATCAGCAGGGTGCTGGAGCCTCCGGGAAGTGCTCCCACCCTGGGGCTCTGCCGCTCCCCAATACCCGCTGCCCCCCCAGCCCCACTCTCCTCCCGCTGCCACTGCATGTCCCGCCGAGTCCGTGATCGAGCCTGGTGAAGCTGGAGGCGCGGCCGCGCGTGGAAGTGGAAAGTTATTTTAGCACTGAATAGAATATTTTTAAAATTAAATTGTTTGAAATACAGATGCAGAGCACGATGTCGGCCGGGTGGGGAGGGGCCGTGCGGGAAGAGAAGAGAAGGGAAGGGAAGTTTCCGCTAAACGGGGCCATGTGCCCGCACTCGCCGCCTACGGCGCCCACGGAGCCCGCCCGGAGCCCGATTCCCCGGAAGTTCGGTCCGCGCCCGGTGCCCGTTCTCCACACTTTCCTCCCTGCCGGTCGCCGGCGCTGTCTAGAGCGGGCGGGGGACGGCCCCGAGCCCGAGACGAGGCGGCAGCAGCGCCCGGCGGGACCGGCTCGAGGCGGGTGGGAGGGAAGAGGAGCCTGGGGCGGCCCCCCGCCCTACGCAGCGGCTCCGACCACGGCCCCGGCCCAGGGCTCTGCCCGCTCCGCAGGCGCCCCCGCCCACCCAAGGGACTCTGCCCACGGGGCGGGGCTTTTCGCCCTCAGGGACCGCGGGGGCCGGGAAAAATCGGCCGCGGCTGAGGGAGGCGGGGATGTGCTTCGGACGTGACTTCAGGGCTGTGCTAGAGCGCCCAAGCAATTCCCATCATTAACCCGCGGCCTCCGCACCAAGCCCGCTCAGACCTGACTGCCCTTGCAATAAATTGTTTTAATTTTCACTTTCATTTTCCAATGTTTCCTTTTCCCCAAGTTTTCTTGGTCCCGATACCGTGTGTATGCCCTTCTTTGCATGTCCAGTGAAGGGTAGTGGAGCTGGGGAATGGTCTGGAGCACATTTGATAAGGAGCAGCTGAGGAGCCTGGGGGTACTCTGGATAAAAGGAGGCTCAAGGGGGACCTGCTTGCTCTGCACAACTCCCTGAGAGGAGGGTGCAAGCAAGGTGAGGGTTGGGCTCTGCTCCCACAGAACAAGGAGTGGCATGAGGGGAAACAGTCTCGAGTTTTCTCAGGAGAGATTTAGGTTGAACATCCGGGAAAAGTTTCTTCAGTGAAAGGGTTCTCCAGCTCTGGCACAGGCTGCTCAGGCCAGTGGTGGAATCACCATCTGTGGAGGGATTTAACAGATGTGTAGATGTGGCACGTGGGGAGGGACATGGGTTAGTGGTGGCCTTGGCAGTGCTATGGGACCAGTTGGACTCCATAGCCTCAGAGCTTTCCTAACCCTAAAAATTCTGTGATAATCATGAAGTGTTTTTAATAATATATCATTTCAGGATCAGGATGCCCAGCCAGGAGAGGCAGCTGCTGATTGATTTGAACACAAACTATCCTGATGTGTTGGTAGTTATTGGGAAAACACTTTTAGGAAAGAGTTCCAGAAAGAAGAAGTCTAGCAATCAGAAAACAGAAAAAGTATTTTCCATAGCAATGTGTGCATTGCTGAATTCAGGAGGAGGAATATTAAGAATGGAGAGTGAGGAAAGAATTACTTCTTCTGGGAGCATGGCATTTGTGGAGACATAGAGACGAGCCTCAGAGATTGCACTAGCAGAAGCAAGGCCTCTGAATACTTTGCATGGATGCAGCAGGGGAGTAACCTGCTGCTTTTTGTTAAAACATGGAGCTGTGGAGGCCCAGAGATGGGGGGTGCAGCCACAAAGTTGCACCTCTGCAGCTTAACTGCTGGTTTGTTTTATAGGGCCAGCATATTGGTTTATCCTGTGACTTCCAGAGAAGCTCCTGAATTCCTGAGGAAGAAAAACTGTGCTAAGTGCCACAATGAGAATGAACTGACCCCCAAGACAGCTCAGCTGAGTTTTGATGGGGGAGCAAAAGAGACTCCTCTGAACATCCAAGAGCACAACATCCAAAATGCGGTGGCGAGATTTATAAAGAAAGATGAAGTGCTGGTTGGGGAGGTCCTGGGTTTCACAGAGGCAACACATATTGAATTTAAGGAATGCAGTACAAAGAGTAGCTTGTAATATATCAGAAAAAAACCCTTCCTAAATACATCTCTGCCTTTGCAAACACTGAGGGTGGATATTTATTTTTTTTGGTGTGGATGACAATGGTAAAGTCACCGGGACCGACAGTAACGTAGAGAAAGTAGCCTTAGAAGAAACAGTAGCTGATGCCATTGGCTCAATGCGAGCCCATCACTTCTGTGGCTCTGGGGCTGGTGTGCAGATCCAAATGCACATCTTGCGTGTTTATGACCAAGCAGGCTGCTCACAGGGCTATGCCTGTGCCATGCACATTGAGCCGTCCTGCTGCCCTGTGTTCGATGATGACCCTCAATCCTGGATGGTGCTGGGCATTGTCAGGGAGGAGAGTGTGGGGGACTGGGCACTGACCAAAAGACTGAGCATCAGGAAATGGATGGAGTTCATGACAGCTGCAGACCCAGATAAATAAAACCTGCCTTTATGTTAGTGTCAGCTTCATTTCCGTGTTCTGCTGCAAATGTTCAGGAGGAAAGATCAACTTGTTTTCAGGGTGTTCTCACCAAACCTAGAAAGGGACATTTGACCCATGCCCAGCCACAGGCACTGGGATGATGGTGCAGTTACTGGCCTGCAGTGGCATCCCTATCCCTGAACTCATTCAGCGGGACTTCTTCAAGCAGTACCAGTCATAGAATCATGGGGTGGTTTTGGTCGGAACACAACTGCCCACAAGACAGTGGGTTGCCAGGCTTCCCTTCATATGGAAAAGGGCCATCAGTTCATGGTCAGGCACTGTAATCCAAAAATGGGATTCTGCCTCCTAAATTTGTGAATATCAGAGGATTCCTTCCAGATGAAATCTGCCAGGCTCTGGCTGGCCTTGGACTCCTGAGGCTGTATCTCCACTGCCTCTGAGACAGTGGGTTGTGAGGCTTTCCTTCCTATGGAAAGGAGCTAACATTCACAGTCAGACTCCTAGGGCTAAAAGTGGGATTCTGCCTCCTAAAATTGTGAACGTTGGAGGATTGTTACAAGATGAAAGCTGCCAGGAGTTATGGCTCTGGCTGGCTTTGGGCTCCTGGGGGCTGCCTCTGAACTGCTCCTGAGACACTGAGTTTCTGGGTTAGGTCCAGTTGTAAGAGGTAATGGTTAGGGTAGTTAAAAATGGTAACTTTTCTTATATTTTATACATATATATAAAATAATTTTTATAAAAATTGATTTCCAAATACAATCCTTTATTTACTGTTTTATATGCAGGATCTTAAGAATATAAGGAATTCTAAATACAGATATATAGGGTTTTTGAAAATACAAATGTAACTTTTCGTATATATATTTTAAACAAGAAAGGGCTTGAAAAATGGGAGAAAATATGATCTCTGTGAGGGGAATAGAAATAGCTCTGTGTATTCAAACAAAAAGCATTTTTGTGCGTCACTCAAAGGCTGAGATCTTGGTTGGTACTTAAATCGCTGCTGCCACCTGGTGACAAGTATGAGGTACTGCGCATATATGCTGTTTAATGACTCAGTAGTGTCACCTGCAGAGTAAAAACGGTACTGCAACTAAGAAATGTTGCATGTGCCATGACTTAAACGACTCGCTGCGGCCACCTGCAGCTAAAAAGCGGTACTGCAGCTAAGAAATGCACACGCGGACGGTGAGTGACTTGTCGAAGTGTCACTGTGGCGCTTTCCATGCCTGCCCTTGCCTCCTGCTGGCCCTGGAGAACACGTGGTGCCTGGGAGCACCAGGCACGAGACCCAGCTGCAGCGGCAGTGGCTGAGGAGATTTGTAGTGAGCCAAGTGAGGAGGGAGGGTTCTTGCCATGTGCTGTTGGGCTTTGGCTGCAGGAACTCACATGACTTGAAGGGCTTGGAATGCAAGCTCTGTGAGAAACCACTGAAGGAGCTGGGGTTGTTTAGGCTGGAGGAAAGGAGACTCAGAGGTGACTTTATCACTCTCTACAATTACCTGTGTTATGAATGTTATGAGCCTATTTGTCCAATTCAAGAAACTACAAACTTAAAATTTAGCAGCAGTTTTAATTGAGGTCATCAATTTTAATTAAGATGAAATAATACAATCAGATATAATTCAGTAGTTACAGAAATTTGGGAGTGGTTCAGATAAAGCATAAGCAAAACCGATTGGGGTACGGGAAGGACTTCCCACCCTGCCTCACATACGAAGGCAAAAGGATCCAAACACAACTTATATACTGTGTGCTAATACATATTCATTGTTAGTTTCCCATAAATCTCCTCCTGTTTTTGGTTCTTGAAATCTGCGTCACTCTACTGCACAGTGCATGCTACCATTGTTTCCAAGGGGTCTTCTGGCTCTTTGGTGGTCTTCTTGGAGGAAGGCTGATGTCTTCCTCACATGCCCTCTTGATAACCAGGCAGGTGGCACATGCACATTAAGCTTGGTGTTATATAAGTAAGCACTGTGTTCCGATTAAACCTTATTTATTTCATAGATAATGTTATGAATAAAAAGTTATCTATTTTTGTTTAAGGTAAGACCACTATTTTAGACTTCCTGTCTGGAATTGTCCCAACTTTATTCATATTCAAGGTCGCTTTTTGCTCTGGAATTTGTCTTAACATCAGTTGATGCCAATTTTGGTTTGGGAGTTTTCCTCCCAAGGCCATTTCTACTTTTGAATATTCTGCTTATTCCATCATCACATCCTATACCTGGTTTCTCACAAGAAACATCTGTAAGGGAGACCTTCTGCTCTTTGATACTGATCACATATATTTCTTATTATTTTCCCAAATTATTGATATAATTACAATTTTATTAGCACGAATCACATCTATTTGTCACACCTGGAAGGTGGTTGTAGATGGGGAAGGGTAGTCTCTTTTTCCAGGCAACAACTGACAGAACAAGAGGACACATTCTTAAGCTGTGCCAAGGGAAGCTTAGGTGGGATATTAGGAAAAAGTTTTTTACTGAAAGACTGATAAAGAACTGAAATTGTCTGCCCAGGGAGGTGGTGGAGTCACCATCCCTGGATGTGTTTAAAAAAGATTGGATGTGGCACTCAGTGCCATGGTTTAGTTGAAGAGATGTTAGGGCATGGGTTGGACTAGATGATCTTAAAGGTCTCTTCCAACCTAGTGATTCTGTGATGATAATGTGCTCAAGATGGTAGAGG